ATCACCCACTATAAATAATTTAGTGTACAAATTTATTCAAGGGCAAGTAACAATCTACTCTATGAAAAGTATGTTGTCGGGTTGACTCTGGAGACCTGGAGATTGAGACCTGGTGTCCCTCCATTACAAATAGATAAGGCAGAAGCTGTCCATTTCAAACTGATAATGCACATGTTAGAAAAAAAATAGAATGTAACTATTCAGAATATGATTTGTTTTGAGACTTTATCAATTATATTGCTGGATCCAAGATTCAGGACATTTTCAATCAATGCATGTATTATCATTTATAACTTTAAATGAAAGTCTCATCCCTTTAATAATAATGACATAACTGTAACTCTTTAAATTCAGAAATATTATAAATCTCATCATATCAATATACTAAGATATACATGTATGCACATAACATTAATAATTCCCAGTTTCTATTAATTAAATATGAAATCCTAACATTAACATTGGTACTAATGGATGGAATTCAAAATCTAGTAGAAAGAAAACTATAATATATAAACTCTGTTATAGATACTATTATTAGCCAGCTAACACTGGGTATAAACATCTTTAACCTGTAGACTGATCATGTATTATCATTTATAAATTTAAATGCAAGTCTCATCCATCATAACTGTAAGTCTTTAAATACAGAAATACACATTATATCCATATACTATGATACACTTGTATGAACATTACATAAATAATTCTCAGGTTCCATTAAAAATAAATATAACATCCTATTAACATTGGTGTTTGGGTGGAATTCATAATCTTGTAGAAAGAAAACTATAATGTACATGATATTGTATAGTATAAAAGTAAAAAAAAATCTCAATAAAAAGTATATAATAAAGATTAAGTTGTGTGAGTTTCTAACCATTAAATGCATATCTCTTACAGTAACAAATACTGTCCCTCATTAGACTTTACTATAAAACTAACTGTATATATATCAAGTGTTTAAAATGAGCACCCATATGTATAGCTTAAATATTCTACCTTTTCATTTTTACCAAAGGTTATTTTATGAGCAATTTACATACAAACACATAGAAAATAATAATTTCACATATTGATTAGAATATTCCTCTAGCAGAATACCTATAGTATATGTGCTAACTGAACAAACTAGAAAAATCTGGTCTAACTCTAAGGTATAATGGTATTTAAGCCAGTAAAAAAAAATATATATCAATATTCACTCATCATGGCCTCTAATGCTTTTGATTAATACCTTACAACTGGTAAATTTTATTAAACAAAAATGTAAGTAATACCTAACTTCAACCTAAGATAGACAGAAACGAACAGATAATTTAGTAAACATGAGTTACTTCCCCTTAAAATAGAGAAAACCTGAAACCCAAAAGAACACCCCAAACATCAAAATTAAGAAATGTTCATTATGTTGCAGGCTCAGTTTTATTAAGCCATGCAAATTCATGGTAAAGTATTCATAAAAAGATAGATGGCCGTGTTACAGCAGTTTTTGCAGAAAATCGGATAGCTTTCAACATCCGGATACTGGTACACCTTGTAAAAACACCCATTCTATGCAACAGATAAACGTAATATATAAAATTAATAGGATAATCGTTTATAACAGTCCATTACCTATCCTTATATTAATTGGCAGGTGAACTTTCTTCTTGTAGAAAAATTTTGAAAATATATAAATGAATGAACGAATGGATACCACATCAATGTAGACCACAACGATATTCGAAATCCGGGTTTTAGTATTCAAACTTCTCAAGTGTGTCGAAAGGATTTGCGAAATTGTGTAAATATATCACGCTGATATTTCGCGTGTTGATAAAAATACTGTAATGTATATGATTTGAAAGGAAAATGTTTCTATGTAACTTTTCACGGAAATGGGCTGTACAATGATTGCGTAAAAAGCCAATAAAATGTCGGCTGCAGAAATCGAAAGGAATTTTGTCACGTGACTTTTGCCCATGCTACCGAAAACTACCCATCACAATATCACGGCGTTGAGACGCCGTGAAATGAAGATGATGGTGTATGGTGAACAAGAGTGCGCTTTTCTGATTTATTTAATGTTGAATTATTGCGACAAATATTAAATAACTGTAAAGATGTTAATGCTATATTCAACACGATGTTGATCAAGTTGTGTGAAAAGCTTATTCAGTTTCTGGACACAATAAATGGTGAGCTTTTAAGGTAGCCTAATAAGGTAACCTGCTACAGGCCAGTCAAGCCCTAAATTAGATAGTCACGATGATCAAGCTTGAAGTCAATCATATCCCTAATTGTAATATAAAAAAGGCACAGCCTCAAAGCGAGCTCGATTTACTTTTACCGTGAAATAGTGTAAAATAATCGTTCATTTTTACTTTATATTTTCCGTTTTAAAATTGTCATTCGGTACTTTATTCACTGCTTCAGTTTATTCTGGTTCCCTGTCCTATTATGGTTCGCATATAAGTGCGCAGGACACCAGTCTACGCTTCCATTTTCAATCAGAATACCTCGGCTTTCATCGTTATCTTATAATTCGAAAAAGTGCAATGTGTCCAGTGATTTTCCTGCTTATATAACAGACTCTGATAAACGGCCTCTTCCCAATTGCAATTTTCTTTAAAATCATGCAGTTTTCCCAAAAATCTGAACTTAAACCTGATTTTTTTATCCCAATTAAATTAGCAATTTTAGCGATATTTTTTCCCAAAATCAAGTGGCTAAGGCCTCTTCCCAATTAAATTAGTAAAATCACTGGTGTCAATTCAGTACTTCGGATGAAATTTTCAAAACCATCACTATCTAGCAGGTACTCTCGTAATCATAAAGCTCGCTGTGCGAGCAGGCCCTTTGGGCCAGCTCTTCGAGCTCGCTATAAGACAGTTCCGATTGAATAAGTCAAACACTTATTCATTAAATCTTGTTTGAACAGGACTCATAACAGAAGAATGAATACAGGGCTGAACATGACTCTTCATAGATCTGGCCCTCGGCATAGCACTTTAATTTTAAAGTTTTGTATGCAACATCAACCACCAGGCACTAATGATATTTTCTTGTTACTCACACACATTTTGGGAGCATAAAAGGACTGGGCTAGGTGGTTGTTGTCCAAGGCCTATATCTCCTACCTAGAATTTGACATAAATGGCTCTTTTTGATCATAATATAAAATTCTTGGTTAAGTTTTGTATTTAAAACTACTGAAGGTATTCACTTGAAACTTAATACATCATTTTAGGTTTATAACCAGAGGTTACTGTCCAAGGCATATAACTCTGTCATGGATTTTGACTGAATCATGGCCCTTCATGAATATTATTGGACATTCAATGAATATTACTATTTATAACAATTAATTTTTAAAGGTATTCACTTAAGAATAATGTATGTTTGTGGGATCATAACCAGCAGTCACTGTGCAAGGCCCATAAGTTGCATAACTCTTTTGGATTTTATCTGAATTATGGCCCTCTTTAAACTTGAAAAATTCTTAGTGCAATATTAATCTTCATTACTTAATTAATGGGATCATAAATGGAGATCATTATCAAAGGCCAATATCACTAACATTGATTTTTACTGAATTACATGTATGGCCCTTTGAATTTGTGAATTTAGATTTTTTTTATAAATTTAAGTTTTGGCTTACAACATTTATCTTTCATAAAACTGCTGTAAGTATTCACTTGAAACTTAATTCGTGCTTTTGGAATTACAATTAATGCAGACTTTCCGAAAGTTTGAATAAAGTGTCAGACATTCAGTCTTACAATCCCTTAAATTTTGTCCAACCGACAAAAAACCAGACCGACACAGTCTAAACATTCATTCTCCTGATCTGGATCTGCATCCTTATCACACAGGAAGTCAACTTCACTGTCAAATGAAACATCTGATAATTCACTGACAGTCTTTAATGTTTGTAATGTCTTTCCAGCAGCTGACTGAATTTTCTCAATCGAAGTTTTCTGTCTTGCACAGACAGATTCATATGTTTTTGTGAATAGCTGATATTTCATGATCTTCGACAGCTGTAACGCGAAATTTGTACATCCATTAATAAATGTGTTATTCCTAATTAAATCTATCGTGTTTAATTTTTACATGAGGAACAGCGCATTTCGTTTTTTACATTGTCACAAATTAGCCATTCTTGCCCTTTCTTCCATTTTTCGTTAAATTTTCTATCTGGCCTGTTTTTTTCTTACTTTTTATTTTCTTTTCACTTCTTTCTGACGGTGTTAATTTCCTCTTTTTTCCAGGCAATGCGCCTTCATAATACTTTAGAAATGCCATTTTAAATTGTTTACTGTAAATGCCAATTGTATGGGTATCAGCCATTGGTCTATTTCCCAATATCAACCAATGAAAATAAATTTTATATAACGCGATTTCAGGGAAGACTAATCTCGCTTGCAACGAACAAGGAATTCATCAATATTAGACTCCCTTGCCCCATAAAAACTATCAGACAGTCGGAACGACTTTAGCTTAAAACTCGTCGGACCTTGTGAAATTATGGCGTTCATGTCCGTTGGGCTGACGTATTTCAGGAAGTCTGTTGATGGTCACTTTACAAAACCCATGCATCAGAAAACTGGCATGGATTTTGAATGAAATTCTACCCATTATGAACTTAACAAAATTCTTTGATATACATCCAAGACTCATAACTATGTGATGTATATTATTTGTATTTTTGTGAATGAAATCTTCCTCTTATCATATGTTTGCATGTTATGTCCCAGATGATATTCATTTTGGCTTTTGGTAGTTAAGAGTAATTTCTTCATTTTCAAGCTTAGAAGGAATACATGTACTATTGCTGTTAAAGAAGAATTACAGCTTGTAAAATAGTTATGCTTATTTATAAATTTTATATGCTTTTACAGATGCGAGTAGGATACTGGAGAAACATCAAAACTGCACAGATACTGAATGGGCCGCACTCTTCGGAACACATGTTCTTCGTCCCCTGGCTTTAATGGACTCTATGCTGTTAAGCGATGGAGATTACTCGACAGGAATAAAATCTTGTCCCTGTGGCTGTAAAATTCCAGTGGTGATGGGGGATACCAGTATAGGTGGGTACAGAACATTGTATAACAAAATACAATAATGACCTTGTCATGTTGTGAACAAGTGTTATATAGGCTACATTTTACAGTCCAGACATCTTGATAATTATAGATACAATATAGGTCAGTGTGAATGTCTTGAGGATCTGCTATAGTTCCACTATACCACATTCTTTTTCCAAAAATCAGAATAATGATTACAAATATGCAACACGTTATTTTGCATCTAGATTAAAAGTAATCCTAAGACAACATTTTGTGGACCCACTCTCCCTTCAAACTGTGAAATACAAGGGCCTTAGATAACTTTTAAACTGACCAAGCTATGCCCTTTAAACAACTCATCTCTTCTTAAAAAGTTTCAAGTAGTGTTTTGGTCCGATCCTTCATATAATTTTAAAACAAGTTGTAAGTATTGGAAATGAGAACCTGTGAATTTTGTATCATTTTATGCGGATAATGCCTGATACAGTTTACAGTTGTTTTGTATGAAAAATATCTTTTGTTTTTAGAATAGAAACAGAATTTAATGGGGAACAAAGTGATTTCCAAATTCATTAATGATTACAACTCTTCTTTAATTCATTTCAGGGCATGAAAGTGTCTGGCATGGCAGTGTAGACATTTTACTTGGTACAAACGTGGTGGTATGCAATGCTCCGGAAGATTACGAACAATTTATGGAAGAGAGAAACCCAGGGTTCGAAATAAAGAAACATAACATTGAAACTATGTACTCACAGATAGTTGCACAAACTATTGTTTCTTCTTTTGTGAAAAACATCGGAGTTGTTCCTACCATTATTATTTCCAAAGACATCGTAAAAATATTTATGTACGACCCCGACAATGATTTGTTATACGAAAGTACGCAGATGAAGTTATTCCGCGAGAGAGGGAGACCGGTGTTAAATACTCATTCGGTTTTAGCGCTTTGGTTTGCCATTAATTATTGTCACTTTTGTACTGGCACTAAACCTTCCCATATTGCATTTGGTTATAAAGCTGACTTCAACGCATGTTTGGACCAGGCTGCTTTGAATACATATAAAAACAAGTTACACTATAGTAACTGTAAGTTTGGTGAGAATACTTTAAAAAAGGAGTTTTCTTACGACAGCTATGAAGAAGTGAAATTTCTTTGAATAATGACACATGTTCCTTTGACCTTGGAAACAAAGTTAATTTGTCTTTGCACATTTGTACAGTCTGACCAGGTTCTACACTGTGCAATTATTATTTTTTTATATATTAAAATCTGATAAAACATTGAGGTGACTGTTCCAAAATATGACTATTCAGTTTCAGCTAGTTAAGGGTCAAAAGTTAAGGAAGATTTGCTGCTTTCACAAGCATCTCAAGTTCATTTAAGGATTACATATAATGAAATGTTACTATTTTGTATTTATGTATACTAAATATAGATGTATAAAGGCCAAAATCTTGAAAATATGTCATTTTACCAAGTTTTTGGAATGACTGAAACAAATTTATGAATTTATCCTACTAATTACTAAATCTATCCATGCAAATAGTGCAGACCAAGATCAGCTGATATATCCATGCCGTCCGATCATGGTCTTTACTATTTGCTATTTAGTTAGTAAGTATCTTGATATTTTACCTACAAAAAACAAGTTCTGACAAGATTGGAATGATACAAAAGGCCATTTCATCACCTTAGTGCTGTAAAAGTTTAACTCCTTTAAAATTATATAAGGAGTTAACCTGTTACTGCTATGATGTGACAATTTGTGATATTCAGTAAAGATTAACTCTGAGAAACACTGAGTGGTACCTGTAAAAAATTTCAGACCTTGCATTGCTGCTAATTTACAGTTTCAATTTTCTAGCAACCCACCTCTTTATAAAATATTGGCACAGACTAAGGCAAATGTGTTTGTTGGATTACCGAAACAGTCTAATATTAAAGGGACTCCACTGAGGTTTTTTGACATGACGGGACTGGAAATAATTTTTTGGGATTATTACTCCATCTGATGTAGACCTATACTAATAACCTATGTACAAAATTTCAGATCATTAGCTCGCTCTGTTTTTCCAGAATAATTATTAAAATAGTGAAAAATGACCCAAAATTGAAAAGCGTTTAAACGCTTTTCAGTCAAATCGAACTGAGAATAGCACAAACATATGATTTTCAATGTATTTCTTAATTATAATTTATTTATATTTCTGTTTTGAGTGCTCATGCTAATCTATGTGAAAAATTAAATTTTTATGTTTTTAGGCTCATAAACCTCAGTGGAGTTCCTTTAACGTGGGAGATGAAAAAAATACACTGGGTTCACTGGGTCTTAGAAATTACCAAGACATACAATGTACCTGAATTTGATTTATGCATGTACATTTATCTTAAAGTGACATTATCATTTTTTTCGCTGTCATGTCGAATTACATATAGTAATTTATTTCAAAAGATGTATATATTATATGAATTTTTGTTTACAATGGTACTATAATATATGATTTTTGTTTACAATGATACTAGTATTTGTTCCATTTGAGTTAGATTATGTGGCAAATTACCCTTCAACTCATTGAAGTATCAAGTGTCCTTGGTGATCTCCCTATATGCAATGTTTTTCCAGGTCCATGGTCGAGTGGTTAAAGTCATTGACTCAAACAACTTGCCCCTCTTCACTGTTGGTTTGAATCCCGACAGGGACTTTGGATTCTTTCATGTGAGAAAGCTGTCCAGCTAGCTTACGGAATGTCAGTGGTTCTACTCTGGTGCCAGGTGCCCAAAAGTACTAAGGGGCACTTGAGATCTCCCTCCACCAGTAAAGTTGGAAAGTCATCATATTACCTACATGTATTTAGTGTTGGTATGAATTAAAACCCAACCAAAAACAGTGAAAAAATATAATCCAAATTATATATTTAGTATTTAGCTTACCACAGCACAACATGCTCATGATGTGCTATTAAAATCACTAATTACTTCATTTTAAAAAGTTGTAGTTTTTTGGCAGTTACTTTTTAGTGATACCTTAAATGGGGTAATGTTGTACATAAATAAGTGTACTGCGGTAAGGCACAGACAGGAATCAATTTCCGTTTATAATTATAAATATTAATTCTGAGGAGAAGTAAACAGATTTCAAGTCATCTCACGATTTAATTTAAACATTCATTTTAGCCCTATAGTAATGAAATTTTATTTGAACCACTTAAAAATTTTGCTTCCCAGAACTAAGTACAGGTATTATATATGAGGAAATATAGGATTTCATGACCATAAAAGGACTTGTAGCCCTGACCTTTTGGTTGTGAGGCACATATTTTATCAACAAGGCCACATCTCCCCAATCTCAATACTTACCAATGTCCATGATTGATTATACCAGATGACAATGATTGAATATGCTAGAGTCAGAAAGATTGCCATAATTGAAAATACCAAATTTAGAAAGATTGCCATGATTGAATATACCAGATTCAGAATAAATTGCCATGATTGAATATACCAGACTAAGAATGATTTGATATACCAGACTAAGAATGATTTAATATACCAGATTCAGAAAGATTGACATGATTGAATATACCAGATTCAGAAAGATTGACATGATTGAATATACCAGACTAAGAATAATTGCCATGATTGAATATACCAGATTAAGAAAGATTGTCATGATTGAATATACCAGGCTCATAAAAATTGCAAAAATTGAATATACAAGATTCAGAAAGATTGCCATTATTGATTATACCAGATTCAGAAATATTGCCATGCTTGAATATACCAGATTAAGAAAGATTGCCATGATTGAATATACCAGATTCAGAAAGATTGTCATGATTGAATATTCCAGACTCAGAAAGATTGCCATGATTCAGATTCAGAAAGATTGCAATTATACCGGATTTAGACAGATTGCCATGATTGAATATACCAGGCTCATAAAAATTGCCATAATTGCATATACAAGATTCAGTTAGATTGCCATGATTAGTTAAACCAGATTCAGAAAGATTGCCATTACATGTATTTCAGAAGGATTGCCATGATGCAATATATCAAATTCAGAAATATTGCCATGATTGAATATACCAGACTCAAAAAATTGCCATAATTGAATATACCAGATTCAGAAAAATTGTGGTGATAACTAAGGCCCAAACGGTAAGCGTTTAAACAGATTCGTTTCGATTTTCATTCAAAAATGTTTATTTTACTGTTTAATCGAAATGACCTTATTGTCTAACAAAATTTCTTAATCATTGCCTGTAATCATGGATTTTATAAATTTTAGTGTTTTTTTCCAAATTAAGAAAAGGACAATGGGTGTTTACAACCCTCCACACAGCATTACCGTGCAAAATATTGCTCGGACATAATACATTTTTGGTAAAAAATGGGGATACAATGCAGAAAATGTGTGCAGACCCATTCGTGATGAGCCCTAAACATTATTTATTTGTACATGTATTAAAAATAGAAAGTAAGTCATCATTTGGCGACTCAAATAAATGGTTTATATAGCATATAGAGGTACCCCCATTTAAACAGTATCGTTTGGTTTTTAGCAAAATATTAGTATTTACATAATATTCCAGATCCATAAAGACTCAGATTCAATTGAAAAGAAAAAAACTTAAAACAAAACATGGCAATTTATTAATGAATAGAATAATTCAATTAACAAAACATTATTTTGGCAGAGCACAACATGCAAATTCATTGGTAAGTGAAATACTGGAAATAACTTAACATTTAATTCGGACAAAATGCAACATGGTAATCAAATGATGAATGAATAACAAATGTACCTGTATTACATCATTGTAACAAAATCATAATGCAACATAAATGAACCACAATCATAACTCAATTAACATCAATATTAAAGGAACTCCACTGAAAGTCCAAAAGCCTGAAAATATAAATTTTAAGTTTTATTTACAAAGATGAGCTGGGGCAGTTAACTAAATCAGAAAGATATGCAAAGGATGATAAAGAAATATACTCGAAAATTAAATTTTTGTAATATTCTTAGCCTGATCTGAATAACAGCATTGCAGCAAAGCGTTGCAATGTTTTTCAATTTTGGGTCATTTGTCTTAGTTAGAATGATTATCCTGAAAAAAAACTGGTGTGAGCCAATGATCTAAAATTTTGCACACAAATTATTAGTGTAAACCTGTTTCAAATGGAACATTAATCTCAAAAAATCATTTCCATTCCCATCATGTCAAAAACCCTTGGTGGAGTCCCTTTAATAGTTGGTTTCTGCTCAAAGATTTGATATTTAACAATCCATAAATTTAATACTAGCATTAAGCATTATGGTTTTAAGGAATTTGAATTCAAAAATGGTCATCTCCGACTGAAAGCCATGCAAATAAAATTTAATACCTAATTCTTTTCAATAAGATAGTCAAATGTAACTATCAGTGAAATATAAGTCATCTCACACTGAAACTGAGTGAAATATAGAAATTTAGTTCCAGTTTTATACATTGAAAGATATAGTGAAGTATATCAAACACCAAGTACAGATTTCATGAAATCATTATTATAGTTAAATGCTGCCATTTTAGTTTTAAATACAAAATGTAGTTTCGATGCAAAAACAATTGGATATACAATGTTAAATAAAAACTTGTTGTTCTTTTTCTTTTAGTAAATAGGGCATATATCTGATTTTGAAGAGAGATTTTTCTTTATATCTTTTACACTCATGCTCTGCACTTTTAAAAAATACTAAAGAATTTCCAAAAACAAATCAACTTATTTATTAACTTAAATGTGGTTTATCGACAACGTTCAGCAGTTTAAATGTCCCATCGGGATACAAAAGAATTTGACACTGTTCCGCATTTTCGGGAATTTCCAAAATTTGTTCTACATTATCGGTCTGTTCTTCTGTCAAAGGATCACCATGTGATATTATATTATCCGCTTCCTGAATGATAACGTTCTGTTCCTCTTCCGTCAATTCCACGAATTCTAATGAATCTTCTGTCCCGTCTTTTTCGATCATCACTTTGTATTCGTTACCGTTCTCAAGTTTGATAAATTGACTGTCACTGTTCATATCCGACGCATCAACATCCCCGGAAACAGGAATTGTATCATTCACTACCAGTGCCGTATCTTGTATATTTGTTGCGATCGGTACTTTAATCATCCCGCCAGGCACGGATACATATCCTGACGTATTAGGCATCAGCCTCACGATTTTACGTTCTAAAGATTCATTGTCGGTGTTATCAATATTAACAACATTATAGTAATTGGTCTTTTTCTTAAGTTTAGTCGGAACGGTGAAACCTTCGTGGATAACTCTTTCGTGTCTTCGAGCCTTCTGTCGTGATGGGAATAAATCACCACAGTACTTGCACGGTCGACTGGCTCCTTCTCCGTGAACCTCTACCATATGGATGGCTAATCGCTGTTTATGGCTAAAGGCGGCCATGCATTGGTCACAACGGAATCTCTTTTTCTCTGAAATACATAAATAACATATCAATCAAATATGAACAGAACAGACATTTTATTTAAGATTTGTACATAGAACATCAAATAGATAAACAAAATAATGATCACATGCTCACAATAACACAGAATACAATATGATACTTAATCAGGTAAGATAAAATAAATTTGTTTACAAAGAGTATGTTAAGATTCAATAATACAATGATTGTATATGTATTGGAATAACTTTAACTTGTTATTATATAAGCTCGTGAAGAAATCTTGTAGAAATCTGGTTCAAACCAGTCTAAATCCTCGAAGTTAACCATGGCTCAAACCTGTATACAATAAATCTGTATAATAATGAGAATACCTCAAACCGGTGAAATATAAATTACATTATAATACATAGTAATAGTAAAAATCAGCAAATGTTATAGAACAGGTCATTTTTATTTTGTTTTGCCTTTTCGTTGAGGATAGCTTAAGTCATATGCAGGCTGGCCTAGCTTTTCACTGGCGGTGACAAGTCATTATGGTTGCTAGGATACATAGAAATGAAAGTACAACCTTCATGTGTAAGCTGGTGAGTTTTGAGGTACATCATAGTTGTGAATCCTTTACCACAAATTGGACAATGTTTGTCTTTTGGTCCGTGTGTCTGCCTATGAATCTCTAGGTAAGTTTTTCCTACAATATAAAAATATATTAACTAGAAATGTGTCCATAGGACACAGGTGCCCCCACCGCGCCACTGTTCTGTCAATCTTATGACTCTAGGTCAAATAGTTTTTGAAAACTAAAAATCTTTTAGTAAGTCAAGGGCAATAACTCTAAAAATACTAAAAATATCCAGACGAAAATACCCAGGTGCACAACTACACATGCTGATCAACATTCCTGTAAAATTTTATGACTAGGTCAAATCCTTTTTGAGTTACATGCGACACAAGTTGAAAATTGCAAAATTTTACTAAGTCAAGGGCAATAACTCTAAAAATACTAAAAATATCCAGACGAAAATACCCAGGTGCACAACAACACATGCTGATCAACATTCCTGTAAAGTTTCATGACTCTAGGTCAAATACTTTTTGAGTAACATGCGACACAAGATGAAAATTGCAAAATTTTACTAAGTCAAGGGCAATAACTCTAAAAATACTAAAAATATCCAGACGAAAATACCCAGGTGCACAACTACACATGCTGATCAACATTCCTGTAAAATTTCATGACTCTAGGTCAAATACTTTTTGAGTTACGTGCGACACAAAAGTGAACGGACATACGGAAGGACAAGGGTAAATCTAAATGCCCGCCACTAAAGTGGGGGCACAATAAAAACATTCCTTTTTACTAAGCTAACTGGATAGCTTCCCCACATCAAAATAGTGGAATTAGAACCTAAAGAGGTAAACAGAGAATACATGGCTGATGTAAGGATGGAGAAGGTTTATCTTGGTGAGCTTTGGCGAGCTAAGATTCACTTTCGCAGCAAACCAGATAAACCTTCTCCTATTCCAACATCAACCATGTATTTGATTTATGTGATGTCATCATATGACGTAATGACTGGAAGTTTATCTGGCAAGGTTTATCCAGCTGATTATATAAACAGTAGCAGGATAAAAGGCAAGTGGTTGTTAAAGTTAGGTGACCTTCACCACTGCATCAAGGCTGCCCCATATAATTCTTAAAATATAATATCATGAAACACATCATTGTTAACAAAATTTCTTAATGACCACTTTATAAAATTTCATTTGTAAGAAAAACATTCAATGAACCTTCCAGGCCTCGACACTAACTTTTTCAGCAAGTGGTAAGCCGGACCACTAGATTTGAACTTTAGGTGGTCCTTGGTCAGTTATTATTATTGTAACATTTTACTGCAAATTTAGAAAAATATATGCTTAAATTGATGAAACAAAATATGTATTAAATTGACCTTTTAAAAAAAAAAAACAAGGAGATAATTACTTCAGAATAATGTAAATAATTTTATCTAATCAGAATATTAAAGGGGAAGAGATAGAAGTCACTAGATAAGGATTTTTTATTGTAATGTTATTTTGGGTTTTATTTTATTTATTTCATTCGCAAAAAATTACACAAACTTTATTTATGTTTAAATTCTTTAAAATAATTGAAGTAAAATCTCTCCCTCAAATTAAGTTTTAGGGAAGAATAATGAACCCAATTTTGGGTCTGTTTAAGAAATCCAAATAATAAATATAAATTCCTTGAAATTCAAGGACTAACGTTCTATAAAATTTATCCAATGATAAAAATTACATGTATTTTATAAATTATAAGATAACATTTTTAAGAAGACTGATAAACAAGATAAATAAAATATCTTATTCTTGTTTTTGAAAGGAAATATCTAAAGGATAAAAAAATAATGACAATATAACTATAGTTTAGCTTATTTTTCTCACTGATTCATTATGAATACAGATTTTTTTACCTTGTTGACATTTTTTTTGGACATTGAGTAATTTTAAATTTTAAAAGTAATTTTATCTCTGGAAGAAATAGATCTATTATCGTTAAACAGTTAAAATACATTGTAAAGATAAGTAGCAACAAATTATTAGATGTATTTGTTTCATGTTATTTTAGTTTGCTGCCATTATTCAAGTATCTGAAAGATATCCTATACATTACTAGTACGGTATCATAATTACCGTCGTGGGTATCTGACGATGCATAATTACTAACATCATTTAAATGAATTTTGTACCTAAATTATTATCACAAAATTTGAATGACTTAAAATGAAAGTTATTGATGATTTAGGAACGTCTTTAACTAATCAGAGATTAATGAACTATATACATGTACCTCGAACAAATGATTTAAAAAAAATGTATATAACATGTTTTTGACACAAATCGCCATTCTCCCATTGAGCCTTGCACCAACCATAAAAATTCAAGTGGTCCGACGGACCAGTGGCTTTTAAAATTACGTGGTCCTTGCCAAAATCAAGGTGGTCTCGGACTAAAGGACCACCACTAATGTTGAAGCCTGACTTTCAGAGTTTCATCAAGTGTTCACCGCAAGCTTACCTTTAAACTTTAATCCGCATATATCGCATGGTATTTTTGTAGCATTATGAGTCTTCTTCATATGATCTGTGAGGTAGCGCCTCGTCTTGTAATAATTATGACAAATTTCGCACTGCCAGTCTTTGGTAGTATTGTGCACTTCTAGATGACGTTTATACCTGATACGCAGCACCACCATACCACATATCTCGCACTTCTAAAAAAATAAAACATTAGTGAAACTATAGCTTTATGAACAATCTTAGCAAAGCATTTTTAAGAAAAAATCAAATATTTGAAGAAAAGTCACTTCAAGTGTCAGTATAAAATTAATTTGTAAGTACTTTATAGAGTTTTATAATACAGACAATATAAAGACAGGAATAATATTATAAATGTTGAAGAAGTAAATGCAGGTTTAAACATATAAAAAAAAAGTTTATAGGAAAAAAAAATAAACAAAACCTATTTTTTTTAAGTGAAGCCTCTTATAAATCAATAGTTCATTTCCATTTAGTAGATCACTAACCATAAGTTAAATATTTTAACAAAGTTTTGTCAAACCTTTGAGCTCTCTTTCAAACGCCTTGCCTTTTTCCTCGCCTTTCTCTGTGCAATCTCTTCTTGTAACTTTTGAACAAATTTCCTCGGAATAATACTCATCCTTCTTCATCAAGTGCTTTCCTTTGTGCGACCACAATGCATATGAACTTCTTTAATCTCTCCCCGCATATATCAACAAGCTATGTCCCTTTCACCATGGACATTCACCATGTGAGTATCAACATGTTCCTGGTTTGAAAAAAACCTTTTACAGATACCGCAACTATATTGTTTTTCATCATTATGCTCTAAAAACATGCTGTACCAAACTCTCATGTGTTGGAAAGTTTCGTTTACAGATTTTACAAAATTTGGTTTTTGGTCGTGCCGACCACATCAGCTTGTAACAACAATGTGCTGACCATACAAAGGACCGTCTTTCAGTAGGCTAATATCGATCCCATCTTCCACACTTTGCCTTTCTCCAAATCTTTCTGCACTTTGTCTTCTTTCTTCTTTTTATGGCTTCACTTGCTACATATTCTTGCTGGCCTTTCCATTTGATATACTCTTCCTCAGAAACCTCTTTCTTCTCCACCCTCGTCCAATGCCACTGTTATCTCTTTCTTCAAGATGTGCATTGTTTACATGTTTCTCAAAACTCTGGCTGTTCCCTTTCAGAATACTGTCACATTTGGGGCAGCTGAATTTCTTCATGGCATGGACAGATCGTATGTGATCTTTAAGATGTCTGTCACTTTTTGTATTTCTTCCCACACTGTGAACACTCGACCAATTTCACCTTCACATGTGCATACATGTGCTTCTTCAGAGCTTTCCATAAATAGTAACGTCCGCAAATTGAGCACGGATACAAACAATTCTTAAAGAAGCTGGCCACCATTTCTTGTCCTAGTAATACTCCCGCTTCTTCCCGTTAAACTTCTTCAAATACTCCTCCGGGTTACTTTGTATCCATCAATGACACAATCACATTACCATCTTTATCTTTTGTCTCTAACTCAGGCATTAAAGTTGCGGGGGATCATTCACTTCATCATCTTCATAATCTTTCTCTTCCATAAAATCATCATCACTATCATCATCTGATGCATTGTTCTCATAATCTGAATTCTACCTCAATTTTATACATGATTTCAGAGTCAGAGTTAGTATCAATATTAAGTTTCCATTCAGGTTTAAAGGGCAAAGTTCTTCCTTTTCTGAATTTTTGTTTTCCAACAAAATTCAACTTGTCTCCTTTTCATCCTCACTACTAACTGTTTCTTTTCTTTATTTTGGGGATCCTGATTGGTTTACCTCTAAGCTCATCTTATTCTCCAGGCTATTCTTTATAGAATCTTTAGGTACATTTTCTCAGTTTTTTTATCATTTTCCATTGAAACAACTTTGATTTTGTTTGAAGTTACATGTATCTTAGTTTTACTCTTTCTTATCTTATTCATATCTAACATCTTTATCTACTTCATTCTTCTGGTTTATTTGTGTCTACCTTGTTCATTTTTGTTCACAAGTCTGGAGACTTCGCAATTCTTTCTTTGTACTATCATCATCATCATCATCATCATCATCATTTAACTTGTTCTTTTTTTGAAGAGGTGTCAGTATGGCATTGTCTAGATGACTTCTCAAAACATCATCATTATCATCATCATTTTCATCATAATCATCAGAGTCATTGTTTGTTGATCCATATCCTGCAAGTGCTTTATAATCGACACGTTTCCGAGATCCCTTTCACTCACTCTTCTACTTGCGATCTAGTTTAAAGCAACAGAGTTTCCACTTGATCCAGGAGTTTTAAACCACGGCTGAAAACCATTTCTTTCTCTTCATATTCTAAGATTCCCTTTCTTGACACCTTTTTCTTTTTTTAGAATCAGACCTAACACTTTCATCACCTTCATTTAAAATGGAGATTCTAGAGGTTTTCTTTTTCTTTTGTTTCTACAATGTTTGAAGATGAAAAACCTACAATACTTTCAGATTTTTCGGTTTGTAATCAGAGACACTTTTTGATGTAGCAGCAGAGTCTGGTCTTGCTGTATGATCAGGCATTACTGTAATTTATAATCAGGCATATTCTCTTCTTCAACCATATGTTCATGTAGTAAACTCATAGAAGGGAAGTCATTTGGCAAAATACCACATTTAAATTACATTCTCGTTCACTTTTATCCTTTACAATTCAGTGGCTTTCTAACATTTCATTCTTCTTATTCATCTGAGAAATAACATCAAAATTGTCATGTGTTTTCAAATGAGCATAGAAGGCAGATAACTTTGTCAAACTTGTTCTGAACATTTACCACAAACAAAAGGGACATACTTCTTTATCAGTTAAAGAACAATACAGCAGCAATTTTTCATTAGGGCCCTTTCACTTTTCATCATTTGGATTACCCATTTCTTAAGAATAGAATATTGAGAGTGCATTTCGGGACCATCAAGATTTAGTTTCTTTAATACTACCTACCAAAAACTCAAACTTCTTTCAGTTTTCTTTTGATTTTGTTACTTTCATTCTCCCCAACATCTGTTTTGATTCAAATCACCCTTATCATCACCAAGGTCCTTAGCTGTGTCTTGTATTTCATTCAGCTTAGTACCATTATCATCATTTGAAGCCCATCAACAAATTTTTCTGTACAGTTTCCATAAGGACTATAGTTCCCTACTTTCAAAGTATTAACTGAAATTGAAAAAAAGAATCTATATATAATTCTATGGGGGAAACAAAAACAATATTTTAATCTTTTTGGAATCAGAAGCAAGGCAGTGAAAACAATTTTTCCTCAATTGGAAGTAAGCAGGGAAATAAAAATATTTCAGATTCTTTTTTTTGTGGTTGGGAGCAGATGGGGAATCAACAATATTTTTTTTTTTGGGGGGTGAAGCAGGCAGAGAAATAAACAATATTTTATTTAAAGATTTGAATGAAGTACCAAAATTTCATGTATTTTTCAAGCTTAGTTATCTTAATATTCTTTATAAAAAATCTTTTGAGTCAATTTCACATTATTCTCTGTACCCATTTAGGCATTCGAGACGAATTTCCCAATATAGGCAGGGGATTATGTGACGGTTCAGAACTGTTCACTATTTAGGGGAGATAGCATGTAGCAGTCTATGCGAAAAGACTTCTGACGTTTTAACTGGACAGTAGGTTCCTGTAAACTGAGAATTTTTACTGGCCAAAAACTAGGATTTTACTGGACCGAAAAAAAAACCCTGATTTGGTATTGCATTTTGAGTCACTTGATATTAGTGTCAAGCAGTCAAAAAATTTGTGTACAAAAAGAAAATTTATATTATCAACGAAGTGAAGAAAGTTATTCTTTTTTTCACCCAACAATCAAAAATGTAAACATTAAATATTGTTATACATGTATTCAATGGATTTTGCTATTTTTAAATTTTAATTCCATAACAAAACTATATACTAGCAAAATGAGAGGGTAAATTTTTCAGCAAAAGTCTGGCATATGTAAATAGAATTATATTATATTTGGTAATTTAGTGAAGTTGACAGATTAATTGTTCAATGATTTTGGTACATTCACAGTACAGTTTTAATTTTCGTCAACATCTTGAACGATCTTA